AACAGAGCTTGACAACAACCTACCCTTAAACTACATTTAGCTGTGACCATATGTCTGATTAGCCTTAGAGCTTTAGTGGGATTGCCACTATTTTATTCAAATGCTGTTTACCTTCTAATGTATTGCAGCTTTCTTTTGAATTTATTTTCTTAAAACAATCTAGTGGGTTTTTTTTTTTTTTTACTGGTGTGTTTCTGTATGCTCTCCAGCCGTAATTCTTTATAAAGCATTTCTTTTCTGTTCCACAGAAACTATGAGCAGCCCACTAAAGATGGCATTGACACTAGCAATATAGGGAACAAGATGCTTCAGGCCATGGGTTGGAAAGAAGGCTCAGGGTTGGGTCGCAAAAGTCAAGGAATCACTGCGCCTATTCAGGTAAGGGTTATACTGTGATGTTTTGAAAGTCTTCAGTAGCCTTATTTTGTAGTCTTAATTGTCTGGTATTGCCAATATTTAAGAATGTGGTTTCTGAATGCATCAGTTTAAACTTTTACATGGTTATTGCCAGTTAGTTAGGACTACATTTAAAAAAAAAAATAATTAAAATAGGATTCAGGCAGTGTGATAGAATTTAAACCTCATATATTTTCAATTGTTTTTTAGTAGCTCTCCGTGTTTTTCTTTTTTCCCCTCCAGGCTCAAGTTAGAATGCGGGGAGCTGGCTTGGGAGTAAAGGGCAGTTCGTATGGTACAGACCCTGCAAATACATACAAGGATGCTGTGAGGAAAGCCATGTTTGCACGGTTTACGGAGATGGAATGAACTTGCGCAATGCCAGGAGATATCTAAACAACACTGTAATCACAGCTCTGGGTTGGCTATGCTGTCCCTGTAGCTTGGCAAGGGACAATTCCCAGAAGGTGTCTGCAGACCTCTGTGAGAAATCAGGCACCTTCATCTGTAAATATGTAGCAATAAATTTTGTACAGTGTAAATATTTTTTTGTTTTGTGAACAAACTTGAAGTCTAGTTTATAAATATTTTTTGGGGTGTCACAACAGTCTTCTGTATGAAGTGCAGTGTACAAGTTCCTTATTCACAAGAACAAAATCCAGGATATGCACCAATTTTTTTCCAGGATATTCATGAATTCCAGGACGTGTATAAGAAGTCCTCTTTTACAGCTCTTCAATCTTTATCAGTAGAAATTGCCAGGGCATGTGGTCTGCCCTCACTTTATATGTAGAAACGTTTGTACAGGATTGTTTTGTCTTTTACTTTCCTTCCATTAAATAAATTTTGAGAGCAAAAAAAAATAAAAAAATTGTTTTGTTTCCTCGTACCAGAGAATGCATTTCATGTTTACAATGTCTTTTAACTGAGAGCTCTAATTAAAGATTTCTGATTAGGGTGTAGGATGTATTCATTAATACTCTTTGCAAGATAGGGTTTTATTTTGTCCTCTGCACTCTCTTGTGGACATAACTTTCAGTGCATACAGTTACACAGGCCAATATCTGTTTGTAGAATACTCTGTTGGGAGAGGGCTGACACTAATGGCAAACAGACGTGCTCTGCCTGAGCCCCTCATCTGGCCTTCACTTTTGTCTCGCTTTTAGCCCTTTACTGCTCCCTATTTGTCCTTGGTGTGGACTTACCAGAGCCCTAACCTGGCAGATCCAGTCTGGAGTGTTGGATAGCCATGCCTATCGCAGAGGCTGCTGGTGAAGACAGTGAGGCCTAGCAGCCTGATTGGGCGGGAGAGATGGCCGCTCTGGCCTCACTCTGTAAAAAAAAAAAAAAGCGAAACATGATCTATTAACGTCTATTTTGAATGGGGTATAGTGAATACCACTACATTGTGGTGGTGAAAGGTATCACACACTTTTATGCCAACTTTCTGCACATGTTCACATAATAGAACAGTAACTTAGTAAATGGATGATTATATAAATGGTGCAGATAACTGAAAATGTCTGGATTGTTTAACCAGAAGTGAAACATTCACCAATTTTAAAGTGAACCTGTAATGGAAAATAATTAACTTACTTGAAATTTCCAAAACACATTGAATACACATGTCACAAAGATACATTGTGAATTCACTGTACAGTATATAGCTTTACTCACCTTTCCTCCATTTAAGTGCTGATTCGTGTGTGGTACTCTTTGCCGTCTTCTTTGACTGTATCCCCGAGCAGGGCAAATCTCCTTAGTGACGTTGGCATGCTGCTTTTGTTGCAAGCATGCTAGCGTCAGAATGGAGTGACCCTAGTCAGCACTAGAAACACTGGCCAGGGAGACTGCGGCAGAGGGAAGAGCCTCTTATTATATATTTAAAATAACCGCAACTATATTCATTACAAACATTTTGCTAATATGAGGGGTACAATTTATGGAGATGGACTGCCAACAGGTACTTAAGTAAAAAAATAAATAAATAAAACAGGTTGGGAACCACTGCTGTAAGCAGATATATAGATATAGATATATATATATATATATATATATATATATATCTATCTATCTATCTATCTATCTATCTATCTATCTTATTAAAAAATTTTTATAGATATATATATTAAAAGTTTTTTTGTTTTTTTTTAAATACAGCGATCTCCCTTACCTGCAGCTGTATAGTTATGTTTGCACATTAATTGTATAGGGGCATGGCCCCAGGCCCTTACAGATGTATTGCCTGTATCCCCTATGATGGCCGCCCTGCCGCTTGCATACTCTTGTGCATCGGTGTAGGAACCAAAGAAAATCATGGAGGACATCCTTTCATTACCCAGCCATTGCGGTTTTCAACTGGCAAAATAGAATGTTATAACCAACTCTTTTATTTGTTTTAATGTTTTTCTTGTCTTATTCAACCAGAGTGACACATGACCTTTAAAAGCTTCACCAGATTTTCTGAAAGAATCTGTGCGCCCCTACGCCTGCTTCCTACACCCATGCTTCTATGTCACAAATAATAAAATCTCTTGGTGAACTTTGCTGATCCCTTATTGTTTCCCCATGGGAGAGATGTGATATACTGTGCTAGCTTTTCCTGTCTAATCATGGCAGCATCACTTATGGGTAGCTCCTCCCTTAGCAGTCACAGGACAGGAATTAATTAGACTGATAGGTATAAAGAGTCCCTCCTCCCTTGACACCAGTCTTTTTTTTTTTTTTTCTGTCAGCCGATTCTACAGGACTTAAAACACTTTTGGGTTTTTTTGGCCACCTTCCTGCGTTTGTCGTGGGTGCATTCCAAATGATGTTAAGCCTCTCTTCATTTGAAGGACTCAGTAAACAGCCTGCATGAGCAGGACTAACTGGGTAAGGTTCAGTGTCAGTACTGAACTGCTGCATGGGATTTATATTTTGTGTTCTGAGAGAGATACAGCTACAAGGTATTTCATGGGGTTGGACCTCCGTAAAACTTCCCCTTTTTTTGGCATTACCCCTAAAAATTGGGGCCTAAATCCCCCCCCCCCTTAGTGGCAGTTTATTGGGATCCATACTAAAGTGGGGTCCTCCAGCTGGATGGACCCATTGTAGGGGCACTCTTTGCCTCCTTTTTGTCCTTGTTTTACCTGTCTTTGGCTCTCTGCCACTGATCGTTCCGTTTTTGATCGCTGCCCACTGGTAGTGCGTTCCAGTGGGCAGAAATTACATCTCGACCGTATTCCGGGGGGTCGCGCAGGTATGACGCGAGCGCCTGTAACGCATAGCGTGCATTCCAGCGTTTGGCGCATGCGCGGTACTGCCGTTTTGCCCCTGCACTATTTCAATCTGAGTGACCTGAGGCTCTGTGCGCATGCTGCATCTGCTGATAGCGATCCTGAGTGCACTGCTTCACGTCCTTTGGGTCAGTGCATTGAAGTTGGAGTTTTTTCCTTTCCTTGGTTGCTTGAATTGTGCCTCATTGTCAGAAGGTAGGCTTTTTCTCCCTGTGATTTTTAAACTTTTCTTGACTTTCAGTTTTGCTTCTGAATTTTGATGGGATGTGGATTTGGGTCTTTTGACATTTCTTTTGATTCCCATTATAGTATGGATTCTTCCTGTGCCTCTGCAAGATCCCTCTCTAGAAAACATAGGTGAGCCAATAATTTTTAATAGTCTGGGTTTTTTAAAAAGAGTGCCAGATTGAGCCTGTAATATATGTTTATATATGGCTTTATTTCAGCCCCAGCAAAACATTGAAATCAACCCAAAGAAAATCAAGGGATAAAACCAATAAATGTGTGAACTGTTCGTCCTCTGCACCTCAGGGAAGGAACCTCTGCAAAGAATGCTTATTGGAAATAGCGGATGCTTCCAATAGGAGTTCCCAACTCTGAATTTCCCAAGTTATTGCCGAGGGCTTTAAGTCTACCACGGAAAAAGGTGGTCCATATAAGAGACGCAGAGCGGAACCTCTGAAGAAGACCCTGATATGTGGGAGGTCTCAGAAGATGGTGAGGAGGAAGTTGAATATACCTCCAGGTATCTTGACTCTGTCTATTGATAGGCTGATTACCCTTATCAGGGTCACTCTTAGTCTCACGGAAGAGAAGTCGAAGTTGAGAGAGGCTGACCGGTTCTTTGAGGACCTAAAGCCTAATAAGCCTACATTCCCAGTGCATTCTTCAATTAATCACACAATCCTTCAAGAATGGAACAAGCTGGAAAGAAAATCCACCTTAAGGAATAAGTTCACAAGAATATATCCTTACTCTGTCATTGACTGCAAAGTATGGAACTCAGTCCCAAAAATAGATGCTGCCGTGATTCACATGGATAAGAAAACTATGCTCCCTATTGACTCCATGGCCTACCTTAGAGAACCTATGGAAAAACATATTGATGGGGATCTCAAAAAACCTTATCTAGCCCTAGGCTCCGCCCTCCATCCTGCGGTGGCTCTAACCATTCTCTCAAAGGCCTTAAGAATATGGCTCGCAAATCTGGAGGAGGACATTGACCGTGGAGTCCGCAAGGAACATCTCTTTCAAAGTCTCAAAGACTACAGCCTTGCTACAGAATTCTGCTCAGAAGCTTCTCTAGACATCACTCGTTTGATTGCTAAGTATGGCCCTGTGTGTGGCCTCTAGAAGGACCTTATGGCTTCATTCACGGTGAGCCAACTATGCCTCCAAGGCATCTTTGTGTGGCCTTCCATTCCAGGGGGATTTATTATTCGGTAAGATTCTGGAGGACGCCATACAAAAGGCTGCAGATGGCAAAAAAAGTTTTTTTGCCGCAAGAAAGAAGAAAGGCTTTTCCTCTTCCTGGAAGACTAAACGCTTCAAGGATTGGTCCTTTCGGGACAGCAGAAGCTATAAACCAGGAAAGTATTCTAGATAATATCCCGATTGGGACCAATAAGGCTTCCGGAGGGAGAAGATCTCTAGAACCTCTGGGAAGAACTTCAGGCCCATTCAGGGATTGTGGGAGGAAGACTAAGGTTCTTCTACCCGGTGTGGGCCACAAATATCGCAGACGTCTGGGTCAATTCCATCATTAAAGAAGGTTACAGGATAGAGTTCTCCTCTTACCCAAAATCCGCTCTCTTCAGGAAGTCGAGTATTGACTGGCATAAAACTAAGAGCTATGAGGAATTGCATCTCCACTCTTCAGGAACAAAAGGGTTATAGAAAAAGTTTCCGAAAGAGGAAAGTTTAAAGGAGTTTACTTCAGTGTTCTTGGCTCCTAGGTTCTTTGATATCAACAATTGGGCTGGTAAAATGGGCCCAATGGAAGTTTGGTCCTATTCAGAATTGCTTCCTTCAATTCAACAGAGTAGAAACAGATTAGGAGCAAAGGATAACTCTGCCGGTCAGAAAAGGGTTGAACTGGTGGAGGGGCAAGAAGAATTTGGCAAAAGGCTTCCCGTTAGAGGAACCTCCTTGGAACGTTATTACAACAGATGCAACTTCTTTTGGATGGGGTGCGCACTTCAATTCCACGTGGAAACAAGGGAAGTGGCCCCAGAAGAGAGTCGTCTACACTCAAATTTAAGGGAGCTAAATGCCATTTCCAGTGCCATCTTGGAATCCCTTCCCTCCCCTACCCATGATACCCAGATTCCTGCGGAAGGTTTGGACAGAAGGCAAAAAAGTAATTGCCAAAATCCTGATATGGCCTCGAAGGCCATGGTTTCCTCTCTTAACCATGATGAGTCAGGAACGGCTTTTGCCTCTTCCAATAATGAATGATCTGCCCAATGTCCCATCCTCATCCAGAACACCTCAAGTTGGGAATGGAGATTTTAAAAAGGAAAGACTTTGACAATTAATCCTTTCGGAAGCAGTGGTCAATACCCTTTTGCAGTCTAGGATGGGTTCTGCTTCCTCGTGCTACCATAGAATCTGGGATATATTCAGAGAATGGGCATCGGCCAAGAACATTGACTTCTTGCAACCTCTCAATACTCAGATCCTGGATTTCCTCCAAGAAGGTCTGGACAAAGGCCTTAGCCTCAGCACTCTTAGAATTCAGTCCTCGGCTCTTTCAGCATTATGCAATATCTCATGGGCTTCGGATCCTTTGATCTCAAGAGTCTTCAAGGCAACTTTCAGGTTGAGACCTCCTTCCATCTCTGGTACCCCTCCTTGGGATCTTCCTCTTGTTCTCAACTACCAGACTGATGATATGTTTGTTCCCCTTGAAAATTTGAATACTAGCCTGACTTACAAGAGTTTGTTTTGGTAGCTAGAATTTCGAAGATTAAAGCCTTTACTACCATGTCTTCCAGCATACAGATCTATCAAGATAGGGTATGTCTCAGATCAAAACCCGAGTTTCTTCCTAAGATGGTCTCTGTTTCACTTTTCTCAAGAAGTGGTCCTTCCATCATTCTATCCCAATCCAACTTCTATTGAAGTTAGGTGGCAATGTTTGGATGTTAAGAACGGTCTGTCCCAATACCTTTATCGTTCTAAGTCATACAGAAAGACTGACCAACTCTTCGTTCTACCTTCAGGAGCTAGGAGAGGCTACGTTTAAAACGTTGGATTCCGCTAATAATCAGGAAAGCGTATGTCTCTAAAGGTCATTCTCTTCCAATAAAGATAAGAACACATTCTACCAGAGCATTGTCGACTTCATGGACTAATTGGGCGGAGATTCCATACGATCATATTTGCAGAGCAGCCACCTGGTCTACCCTGATGACGTTCATAAAACACTACAAACTGGACGTGGCCTCTCCTTCCACTTCCTTTGGGAAGAGTGTTCTGTCTACGGTTTCTTTATCCCACTGATATTAAATTTCTTTGCAGCATGAGTGTCTATATAGTGTCTTTTTCTTGGTTTATTTATTCCCACCCTATATTTCTGTGAGCTTGGCTATTACCCATAAGTGATGCTGCCATGATTAGCCAGGAATAGAGAAAATGTATGACAAACTTACCGTAATTTTCTTTTCCTTGCTATTTCTCATGGCAGCATCAGGGTTCCCGCCCATTCTCTTATTTTTCCAGCTTTATAATTGGACTGTGGTGTAACGGGAGGAGGGACTCTTTATACCTATCAGTCTAATTAATTAACCTAATTAATTCCTGTGCTGTGACTGCTAAGGGAGGAGCTTCCCATAAGTGATGCTGCCATGAGAAATAGCCAGGAAAAGAAAATTATGATTTGTCATAAATTTTCTCTTTTTTTTGTGATACATTGTAATTTACCATCTATAACTTTTTGGGGGGCAATCCTTGATTTTGCATTAGAGTTTAGGTTTAGCAGTCTTTGGAACCCCTTGGTTCTAGAGATTCAGGGATATATTGGGTATATTGGTCAATGAGTTAGCGCACAATTTTTAAGAAACTCTCCAATTAGAGAGTAAAAAATTAAAAATATTATATATAACTTGTTCACCACAGTAATGCAATTTTCAAAGAGCATATAATCATACAGAAAAACATATACTTTTCATTATTACATATGAACTGCTTTCAGCACAAAGAGTCCAAGAATTAACAGTCCTGGTCTCAAGTATAGTAGCCCCTTTTTTTTCTTTCAGCACTGTAGGGGTTAAGCTTGAATTTGGGGGAAATGAAAGGCTTAAATGGTGTGATAACGTTAGGTGAAGAGCCTCCACCATATACACCCAATGTGGAGCTCTCACATTATTAATTATACTAATGTTGTAGTATATAGACTTGTGTCAGCTTTGCAATAAATCTTTCGAAAATATTCCGATATTCAGACTTTATTTCCGTTTAAAATTGATCATAAAAATAAATTATAAACCATAAAAAGTATACAGCTGGTATAGCTGTGTCAAACCAGCTCACTGTTCATGGGGTAGTTCAAATCCCTTGTGCAGGTCCACTGTCCACCGATGTTGTCGCTTGATTCTCCTCTCCCCTGAAGGCTGGTTACATAATATCGGCACCACGTGACTTACGCGTTTCGCCCTAGGTGGGCTTTCTCAAAGTCTGTGGATGCAGAGTGCCGATCTCGCTTAAATGCAGTATTGCAGCTATCCATGATTACAAATATCCTCCAGGTTCCTCATATTCAATTTAACCCATTATTGAAACATATATATACAATCAACATGATACTAATTACATTACATCTTAACAGCATTATTTTATAGATATCCATTTTGCTTAATAAACAAATAAAGCTTATGGGCATGTATAGTGAGTTATTTCTGTAATTCTTATAGAACAACAATAGTTAGGATAGGATTTTAAAGGGGTACAATTCCCAGAAAAGATTATGGTTATTTCTTTAGATAGTTTCACAATATACACACACATGTATTCCTTGTAGAGCAACAATATGATATTAAATATCCAAATAAATTAAATTGAGTTTAAAGGGGTACTTCTCTCTGTCTAAAGGCTTTTCACTAAAGAAGTTGCCATACATCTTCTTAAAAAAATAATTTTCTATGTCCTTGTTAGATGTCCTTGTTCTATTGCTTGTTAGATATGGAGCTCTATACTGTAGCTTAAAGGTATACTCCTCATAAATAAATAATATATAATACAATAAAAAATATATATATTAAAAGAATATATATATATTGGAAAATGAAAAAATAAAAAAGTATAAAAATTCATATTTTGAGTGTGTAGAGGTTATAATGATGGGTATCTTGAAGTGTACAATATATGGAATTATATAGGAATCTATTCTAAAAAGTGTATTAGTTCAAAATCTATATTTAAACCATGTGGCATTAACCCCTTAAGGACACATGACATGTGTGACATGTCATGATTCCCTTTTATTCCAGAAGTTTGGTCCTTAATGGGGTTAAAGCACCCAGTTTAAATATCCATTGCATTTCCCGAATAGCCAATTGTTTTGTGTAGTCTCCTCCTCTTATATCCTTCACTTGTTCCACAGAAGTATAGTTGGCTTGGGTCCATCTCATGTTTCAATTTAAAATGTGTCGAGACATTATGGCCTTCAAATCCTCTTTTTATATTGTATATGTGTTCATACAATTTTTTCTTCAATGGTCTCTCGGTTCCTCCAATATATTGTAGTCCATATGTACAGTATATTAAATAGATTACCCCTTTGGTATTGCACGTGATGATATTCTTTATCTTAAACTCTTCTCCTGTATGGTGTGATTTAAAATTTGTGCACTTCCTGTTAGTTTTTGCACTCATTCGACATGCATTACATGTTCCACATTTGTAAAAAACATTTTGTAAATGAAAGGAATTCTCCGATAGTTGACTTGGGGCTAGAATTGATTTCAAGTTTGATGCCCTTCTAAAAACTATCTTAGGTTTTTCTGGTAAGATGTTGTGGACTACTTCATCCGTCTTAAGACTGGCCACCGTTTATTTAAAATTTTCTTGATTTCTTGTGCTTGGTTGTTAAAGTTAAAAATAATTGGTATCTCCATATCTTCCTGTATTTCCTCTTCCTTATTTTTATATTCAAGAAGATCATCTCTCTTTATCTTCATAACTTCTTCCAAGACTACTTCTATATTTTCCTCATCATAATTCTTATCTAAAAATCTTCTTTGCTCTGTAAAATCATCAACTTGTGTGTAATTTCTTTTTACTCTTCTGAACTGTTTTTTTGGAATGTATAAAACGCTTGTATGTAACGAGGCTTGCACCCCAGCCATGCCCATCCCACACGTATTCATCCTCCCACCTGGACATAAAAAGGTTGGCATAGCTGGGTGCAAACCTCGTTCCCATGGCTGTGCCGGTCTTCTGGATAAAATTCTGATATTCAAACGTAAAAACATTATTGCTTAAGATCAATAAAATACCTTCAATCAGGAAAGCAATTTGTAGTTCAGGGAATATTTCTTCTTTTTCTAGGATATCTTTACAGGCTTTACTTTTTTATGGTCAATGCACGTTTTTAACGTATTGACATCACATGTAACTAGTATCATTCCCTCCTCCCATTTTATTTCTTTCAAGATTCTAAGAAGATGTGACTTCATCCTGAATGTGGTCCATACATTGGTATAGGTTACTGAATAAAGACCCTATCCCAGTAATTATAGCTCGTCCTGGTGGTTCTGTCAGACTTTTGTGGATCTTGGGTAAAAAATAAAATATTGCCATCCTCGGATTCTTTATATTCTTCTATTTATAATACCGAGGTCTAATCCTCTCTTCAGGTACTCTTCCAGAGTCTTCTGCATCTGGGGAGTTGGATTATTGCCAAATTTCCCATATTTCTTCATCCAGGCTTAGGGACCTCGTACTCAGATCACTGGGTTGTGGACTTGTAGGTTAAAATATTAAAATACAGCGGAACCTCGGAACTCGAACTTAATCCATTGCAGAAGGCTGTTCGAGTTTCGATTTGTTCGAGAACCGAATCAACATTTTCCATAGGAATTAATGTAAATTTGTTTAATCCGTTCAAGACCCTCAAACTTACATGGATGGGGATAGGTAACTGTTCTTCTCTAATTACATACAAAAGCATATACAATGTCTGTATCAGGTTCAAAATATCTAATACCCCTCTTTCCTCTGCTTGTATCCTTATGTCCATAGTCCCTCTTCCCTTACTCATGTCCCTTTGTCCTCTGGTATCCTTCTCATATTTTCCTTTTTCTTCTTGCATAATAATTCTGTCCATATCCCTCTAGCCCCCTGGTTTTCCTCTCCCTATATTCCCCTCTATCCAGTGGCAGATCCAGAGCCTGATCTTGGGAGGGGCAGTGTATGTGTATGTGGGAGGTGGAGTGTGGGGGGGGCGGTGTGTATGTATGTGGGGAAAGTGTGTGTGTCTGGGGCAGAGTGTGAATGTGTGGTGAGGAGGTTAGGGGGTCTTTTTTTTATAATTTTTAAAAATAAAAATAAATACATTTATGTCCCCCCTTCCTTCTTACCTTTACTGAGGAGGGGGGGTGCATTTCTCGATCCCTGGTAGTCCGGTGGGGAATCCCTGGTGATTGCAGTGGCGATAGAGAACTCCAGCCTGCAGCTCCAGGGCTAGAGCTCACTCTCGCGAGATCCGGAGCATTGCTGTGGTAACGGCGGCAACGCTCCATGCTCACGAGAGTAGAACCCAGAGGAGCTGTCGTCCTCTCTCCCGGGTCCTCTCTCCCTCCCCTGCCAGCACGGTGATTGCGGACCAGGGAGGGAGATCTCTGATCTCCCCTCCAGTCCTTGAAGGCACATTGCAGGGCTGGTACATGGATAGTGCCAGCCCTGCATTAGCCAGCAGGGAAGAGGTGTGTGGGGGGGGGGCAATTGCCCCATTGCCGCCCCCTGGATCCGCCAGTGCCTCTATCCCTTTACATAGTCCATCTGCCCATATTTCCTCATCTCACACTTGTATCCCATGCTTCCCCACACTTGTGTGTTCAGGTACCGAGGATCGTTCGCGTACCGAGACATTTTTTTACGCTACATTTTTGTTCGACTTCCGAATAGTTTGAGAATGGGAATGTTCGAGTTCAAAGGTTCCACTTTATAGTTTTTTTGTTCACAGTCCTATCAGACAGGGTTATTTTCTAAAGTAAAAATTCAAAGTGAATCTCAAATGTAAGGCCAGAGTAGCAAAACTAAAATATAGCTGACTTTGTCCAGTTCAGCTATTTTGACCTTAAAGAAACACTACAGCATTATTAATACAAACCTGTATTCCTAAGGCCCCTGTCCCTAGTTAAATACAAGCTCCCTACAGTTTGCAATGTAAATGAATAAAATAAAGCTTTTTACTCATTTAGTTCCCAGAGGCGAAACTGCCTCGTTGCTGCTCACCTCTCCGTGTCCCACGACGTCATCGAGGAGGCATGGCCTTCTCCGCAATAGTGCAACCCAGTTCTCTTTATAGAGGAGCATTGGAGACCTGATGTGCATGCGTGGCGAGAATTTGGTCAGTGCAGCTGAAGCGCCTCTAGGGGCTGTCAGTGTGACAGCAACTAGAGATGGACTTAACCCTGTAATGTAAAAACTGCATTTCTAAGAAGAAAAAAAATTTAATTAAAACACTACTGTTTTCCCCTGCACCCAGATCACTTCACTGGGCTGAAATAGTTTGGGTGACTATAGTGTCCCTTTATATTTGGAATTCACATTAGGGAATAACCCTGAGAGTTATCCAATAGACTCTGAATGAAAATCCAAATGGAAAAAGTATCTGACCTGGATCCAAATCTGCCAGGGACAACTTGGCTATTTTATTATCCATGTTTATTAGACTATTCCATTTCTTGTCTATGTTAACGTTCATCCTAAAAAAACAAACAAAAAAACCCACTAAACATTTATATGTAAATAATATTTACTCCATCTCCCTGCCCATAATGTGGTTACTGATAGGTCACAGTGAGTTATGGGCAAGCAGGACAAGAAGAGCAGGAGAAGCGTGTCAGCATGCACGCACACATGTCCACCAGATGTCGCTGCTTCCTAGTATATTAAAGCTTTGTGGTTTGTTTGTTTTTGCATATGGTAACTTTTGCAACTTTCTGGGCTGGCAAAAAAAAAAAAAACTATTTAAAGTAGCGGACAAGGTTTATAAGAACCACCCTAAGGTGGCTTTAATATCATGGCAGTCTTTTGGACAAAGTCTAGACCAGAGATGCCAAACCTTCTTCTTAACCCATATATTTGTGATCTACCTTCCTCATTATGTTCACATAGTTTCAATCTGGCTGGGCATTGATGGAAATGTAGTCCCCAAATCCAAAGGGAGAGTGATTGCTAGCAGAGACGTTGGGAATAAATTCCCTTTGTAGACAAACACATGAATGCAGGCTGAAATGTTCTCCATGCACATCTGGCCTACAGATGTTGAGTTAACAGCATCTGATCTTGTAGTAGAACATAATGCAATTTTCAGAGTAACCCTGCTGGAGTGAAAATGCTTGATTTGTTTGCAGACATACCCAGAGAGCATTGCAGCAGCCAGGATGAACAGGATTACAAGCTCAGATCAACTGCAGGAGCTGCTATAATAGTGATGTCGAAATGTGGCACCCCTGCTGAGATCTTGGGTTATGTAGATCACAGACAGCTTGGGTGCTAAGGTACCCTTCAATGTTTAACCATTTGTGAAATAGGCAACATAATATATAGCCTGCACACACTAACGTAATTATTGATGCAGTTGTATTAGCTTGGTAAAGGCTACAGTACAGCTCCTTCCCTTGCTCCCTCTACAACATAAAACTCCAACATTTTAACTCTTCATTGCTCTATAGTCTATATAAACTTTCAATAAAGCCCTCTTAACACTCAACATAGCTCCAGTTTCTGTACATAGTCTTTCCATATAACTCTTATTGACCCACGAAATTATACAACAATCCTCTTGTTCCACATTGTTATAACTCCTCATTTAAACTATATAACTCCTCCCATTGCTCCATAGAAAATATCAGTATAACTGCTCCCACTGCTCCATATAAACTATATAATTACTCCCACTACTCCATATAATCTATCAGTATAACTCCTCCCATTGTTCATATAAATTATATAACTACTCCATATAATCTATCAGTATAACTCCTCGTATAAACTATATAATTCCTCTCATTGCTCCATATAAACCATATAGCTCCTCCCATTGCTCCATATAAATTATATAACTCCTCCCACTACTCCATATAAATTATCAGTATAACAACTCATATAAACTATATAACTCCTCTCATTGCTCAATATAAACTATATAGCTCCTCCCATTGCTCCATATAAAATAACTGTATAACTCCTCCCACTGCTCCATATAAAATATCAGTATAACTCCTCCCACTGCTCCATATAAAATCAGTATAACTCCTCCCATTGCTCCATATAAACTATCAGTATAACTCCTCCAACTGCTCCATATAAAATATCAGTATAACTCCTTCCATTGCTCCATATAAACTATCAGTATAACTCCTCCAACTGCTCCATATAAAATATCAGTATAACTCCTCCCACTGCTCCATATAAAATCAGTATAACTCCTCCCATTGCTCCATATAAACTATCAGTATAACTCCTCCAACTGCTCCATATAAAATATCAGTATAACTCCTTCCATTGCTCCATATAAACTATCAGTATAACTCCTCCCATTGCTCCATATAAAATATCAGTATAACTCCTCCCATTGCTCCATATAAACTATCAGTATAACTCCTCCAACTGCTCCATATAAACTATCAGTATAACTCCTTCCATTGCTCCATATAAACTATCAGTATAACTCCTCCAACTGCTCCATATAAAATATCAGTATAACTCCTTCCATTGCTCCATATAAACTATCAGTATAACTCCTCCCACTGCTCCATATAAACTATCAGTATAACTCCTCCGATTGCTCCATATAAACTATCAGTATAACTCCTCCCACTGCTCCATATAAACTATCGGTATAACTCCTTCCATTGCTCCATATAAATTATCAGTATAACTCCTCCCACTGCTCCATATAAACTATCGGTATAACTCCTCCCATTGCTCCATATAAACTATCAGTATAACTCCTTCCACTGCTCCATATAAACTATCGGTATAACTCCTCCCATTGCTCCATATAAACTATCAGTATAACTCCTCCCACTGCTCCATATAAACTATTAATATAACTCCTCCCATTGCTCCATATAAACTATCAGTATAACTCCTCCCATTGCTCCATATAAACTATCTGTATAGCTCCTCCCACTGCTCCATATAAACTATCAGTATAACTCCTCCCATTGCTCCATATAAATTATATAACTCCTCCCACTACTCCATATAAACTATCAGTATTACAACTCATATAAACTATATAACTCCTCTCATTGCTCAATATAAACTATATAGCTCCTCCCATTGCTCCATATAAAAAACTGTATAACTCCTCCCACTGCTCCATATAAAATATCAGTATAACTCCTCCCACTGCTCCATAGAAAATATCAGTATAACTCCTCCCAGTGCTCCATATAAACTATCTGTATAACTCCTCCCACTGCCCCATATAAAATATGAGTATAACTCCTCCCACTGCCCCATATAAACTATCTGTATAGCTCCTCCCACTGCTCCATATAAAATATCAGTATAACTCCTCCCATTGCTCCATATAAACTATCAGTATAACTCCTCCCACTGCTCCATATAAACTATCAGTATAACTCCTCCCATTGCTCCATATAACATAACTGTATAACTCCTCCCACTGCTCCATATAAACTATATAACTCCTCCCATTGCTCCATATAAACTATATGTATAGCTCCTCCCACTGCTCCATATAAACTATCTGTATAGCTCCTCCCACTGCTCCATATAAACTATCAGTATAACTCCTCCCATTGCTCCATATAACATAACTGTATAACTCCTCCCACTGCTCCATATAAACTATATAACTCCTCCCATTGCTCCATATAAACTATATGTATAGCTCCTCCCACTGCTCCATATAAACTATCTGTATAGCTCCTCCCACTGCTCCATATAAACTATCAGTATAACTCCTCCCATTGCTCCATATAACATAACTGTATAACTCCTCCCACTGCTCCATATAAACTATATAACTCCTCCCATTGCTCCATATAAACTATATGTATAGCTCCTCCCACTGCTCCATATAAACTCAGTATAACTCCTCCCATTGCTCCATATTATACACTATATATCCCCCATGTATTCTATAAACTCTCTCCCTATTACTGTTTCCATTTCTTGACAAAGCTCCTGCCCCCTCTATCCCTCTGCTGTGCCTGCATGTCAATCTGCATATCCTCCCTTCTCCTCCAAGTCTTCTATAATTCCTCTAGACTGCATCTCAATGGTTAATCCAAACCTTGAATAAAGTGAGTGAAATCCATTGGAAAATGCATGTACTTGTTAATGGGATAATCCCAGCAGAAAGAGGATTACTGTTACTGCAACCACTAAAATACTCGCCCCCAGGGTATATATTGTTATAACTAGACCCCTATCTACTTATTCTCATTTTTTAATATTTTCTCTTTTCTTCTGCCCTTACTTTATTTATTCTTCCTTTCTTTCCCCTCCATACTCCATCCCCCCATCCCTTTTACTCCTTAGCCCCTTAAGCCCCCCTCCCAGTGCTGTACCCTCTACCTTACTTAACCCTTTATGCCCCACTGCATGCGATCCCTTCCCAGCTGATATGATCAGTCCTACATAGCTGGTTAAACATCAGGATTTGTTCTCTCTTTAAAAAAATGAATATATATATATTTATTAAAATCTCTAATTCCCATGTTTCTCATATTCTTCAATAGCCCCCTTAACCCCAGCCATTGACCAACCATTTCAGTAAATCTATAGCAGCAGACTTTCTCAAGTAACACTATTCTTTGTTTCTATTTCCAGACTTCCCCTCTTTTTTCTTTCTAAGTCCCTCTGATATTTTCCATGTGAACTAACCTCTAATTTAATTACATAGCCCCCCTCCTCTTCTCCCCATTTTATACCCCAGATCAGATTTCTACATATTGCTCTTTACTATCCCCAAATCCTAGGGGTGTGAATTAGGGCCAGTCATTGGCTGCTTGTTCAGACAGGAGGGCTGTTGGGAGGGGCTAGGCTGAAGCCTTAAGGCAAATTTTGGATGAGAAAGGGTTCAGAAGAGAAGTTTGATTAGAGAGAGGAACACATCTTGCAATGCAGCCAGGAGGATTTGGAGCACAGTCCAAATAGTAACTATTACTCTTCACCCCAGTCACAGGTCCACTGGTTACTGCTGGGTCTGTGGATTTGTGGGGTATGCAGAAGACAAGGCTGGACTCACTCACCCTTCAGCTGAGATCAGAGTTGGTAAGTTGTGTTAAAGGGACAATGTGGGCATATTACAATGTATCACAAAGTGTTGGTGTGCCTTGCTGAACTGGTTCAGGGTGTAACTGTAAAATGTCAGAATATTAATGTTACTATGCACTGATTAGGATATTTTATTGATCCAGTGAGCAGTGATAAAGATAGGATTTGACATTAATCCACAGTTGACTTGTGATTTAATGCATGATTTATTAATGGAATGGGTAATATGCTGATCCAGGCTCAATGTAAAAAAAAAAAAAAAAATATCCAAATAAATTCATTTCCCTGTGTATTTTAGAAAACAGACATAAAAGGTTGCAATTGGGATTATTGAATTCAATGATAACCTAACCACAGCAAATTTCCTTATATTTAATATCTCTGCTTGTTATTATGGGAAGGTCTTTGATCCTGTACAGTTGTTGCATTACAGATGTTTTTCAACTGCATTTCCCACGATGCTCAGCCAACATTTTACTAGCTGAGCTTCACGGGGAATGTAGTTCACAGAAATCTGCAGTGCCACAATGTGAAATTCACCAACATCAGGGAGAAGGATGGCCATGTTGTGAGTGTGGTGCCGTGTTAGTCCAAGGCATGTAGTCTATAGCCCTGCTTGTGGCTGTAAATGATGAGAGCTGTATGCAGTTTAGCCAGAGATGCAGATGAAGATTTAAGCCTCTGTGATCAGCCGCAGCTTGCCAGGCAGGACATAAGCAGAGCAAGCACATGCATGCCCAGCGTATACATCTGTAATGATCAATTTTCACATCTCCAAACAATCAGTGGGATTTTCCCTGCTAAAGAAAATAGGCGATTGCAGGGAATGTGACTGCATGTAATGGGGAGAATGTAGAGGCCATATATATTGCGATGGATATTCGCTGTGCATGTACTCTCTATATATCTCTCACTTTTCCTAATACTGAACCAGTGAGGGCTTCTACGAAACAAGTTGTGTATAAAGATTTTGCCTGACCATCGCCATTTCATGTTAATGTGGTTTTACCCCATCTGTTTCTAAACAATTAATACTATACCAGACCTTGCACTAAACTCCAAATTGTAATAAACTAAATTCCAAAAGGCAAAACTGAGATAATCCGAACTGGGATTATAGACGAGTTGGATCATTTTTCCACATCTGCTATTTTGTCCTTATTTTTGCCTTTCAAATTATAGATTTGTACAATTCTGAGATTTTACAAATAAAAGCTTTATTAAATCCACCAAATTTGGAATTACTAAAATTTTGCTGTCAGAGCAAACTTTTTCTGATAGTTTCAGCGTCAATCGCTACACATAATTTTTTCCATTTATTTCTACCTGTAAGTAGTTGTATCAATTGCTCTAATGACCTCAAACATTCCATCTTTGATTATGTTAATCCATTTATCTACGACTTTTGTCAGAGCTTTTTAGTATAGCACCAACCTATTCTACAGTGTTGTACTTGTCCTCCTCTTTGTAGTCACCCAATCATTTTTGCTGAGTCTTCTCCCCTTCTCTGTGCCAACAACCCCATCCTTTTCTACCCAAACTTCCCTCATAAACGGCCAGCATGAATGTGATTTTGTAAAACGGTGTTGTTGACGAAGTAGTTAAACATTAGTGCAGATAGTAAGAGAGGTTTTAGCAGTGTGAGTGCATGTTAGAACAGGCAGGAAACGCTGTGCACACTGAAAGAATGTCTGTTCAGGAGGTGTCAGGGATTAGGCGGTTTATATTCTCGAATATTTCATGATCTAACATTATCTGCTGCTCAGATAAGTAACATGGAGACATCTGTGCATCTTTTTTTATCTGGGTCCCATGCAGGCATGTTAATGAAAAGTGTAACAATGTCCGCTATACTGTAAGATTTACATTAAAAGCATGTAGTATAGATATGGACGTGTGAAAATTTTCATGTCTGCATCTGTCTACATGTTCGCACTAAGCTGGGAATTGTGCAGAACTGACAAGAGAACTGTGAATTGTTTGGCAAAGAACCAAACTGCAAAAAGACTGCAAAAAGATCTGATTTAGTTTTTGCAAACGCGTTATTTTGCCATAAATCTTGCAATTCCTTTGTCGATTCACCACAGTTCCATGTTTAGTAAAAAAAACTAGAGTGTGATTTAATTTCATGACTTCAGACTCAAAGCACAGTAGTCCTCCCTGTGGCCTGTGATGCTATTTCTGGACCACATGTCCCACTAGTTCAAGTCTAATGACATGATGGCTAAAAATGGAACTTCAAATGTTTGTAAAATGCATTTCCCATGATGCCTTGTGTTGGCTAGGCATCATGGGAAGTGCCTTTAACATGCATCTCTTTACCATAACCCACTGGCCATGTATAACACCTACTAATCATGTAAATTGATTCTGTATTGCCAAATGCTGGTCTCTCCATGTTATTTATTGCCCCAGGGCTATGTGTAAATAGGTCTGTGTGCTGTGCAAACACTCCCATCTCTACTCTAGGAGCTGCAAGGCCAATAACTCACTTATCTTGAGGAATTAGACTGTTAGTTTTTGGTTTGTGGATGTGAGGTTTAATCTCCAACAGACAGCATCCAGGGTTGTCTCTGCAATAAGCTGACCAAGTCTGGATAATAAAAAATATTTGTCTCATCATAGGTATAGTGAGGCTTTTTTAAATCAATAAATAGACCTGAGATGCAGAGTTGTTAAAGTGATGCAAAGACTATGGCAACTGATGGTTGGTCCAGAATTGTAACTTTATGCCAGAATATACTCCAATCTGTTTTCCAAAAACTTAGCTACTTTGTCTCTCCCAGTAGGCTCTGCCTCCTCTCTAAACTACTGCATTTCCGGTATAATATTTATTTCACATATAAAATGCTTTTGCGTATCTGAAGGCATGGGCAGAGGATGTATTGTGCCCTAACTTGCACTGAACTGGCATAAAACCTGGATATACAAAAATAACTTAATCATAGTGAGAACACTGCGCCCAGTCATACTTGTAATGAGATTTCCAGCACCTGTGGCAGGAATTAGGGATCAGCCCAGTGTGGGGGCGGCATGTGTCACTGGGGTAAGGGATGACAGGGATCTGAGCAACAAAGGAGAGGAAAGCATTCTGGGGCAGGAGTGGGGACAGGATAAAAAGATAGATAGATAGATAGATAGATAGTGCATTAAGATGTAGGATCAGATAGATAAAGCTAAATACAAGTAGCAGGATACAGACAGATGTACAATGTGGAATACACTGGGAATCTATACATTATAATGATAGATATATAAACAGAATTGTATTGATAAGTTGATCTGGGCACAAAGCTAGCATTAATCATTAGATTAAAAAGATGGATAGAATTAGCAAATGATGGACTAGATCAAAAGAATTTGGCTGAGAGACAGATCATATAATTTCTGTACATCTCGACACAATAAATAGTGTTAATATAGTTTTAGAGAGAGAGAGAGAGCAAAAAATATTCTATTGAAAAACCACAGATGGTCAAATCCCTAATAAATGTTAAAATTAACCCATTACAAATATATACATGGCCACATACTCCCAAACCCATTACAACATTTCTCATTAAAAAGTAAAAATAATGACATATACTACATATGAATTTTAGATGCAGGTTAAGCAGGGAAATTAAATACAACTGTTCGCTTGCTTTGCATTTGTTTAGAGAGGTCATGCAGGGTTAATAAATGCACAATTACTGATGTTCTGGAGGAGGGGTGAGGGGACTTAACCCAGGCAGTCGATGACTGTCGATGATGTATTATCATCATAAAGAATTAGAAATGAATGGTTAATTGCATAGAAAGAAACATTAAAAATCTTGATCTTTTATTTATAATTTACTCGCCGCACATGATCCTATAGATATAACACTGTGGGGTTTATTCATGAATTGGGAATTGCAAATTTTTTACCAAACTGGAAAAATTCTCAAATTCATATAGTTTTCCAGCCCCTTATATATGGCGTATATTTGTCAGGACCTGTGCTGATATTGTATGTGTAATACAAACAGCCTCTTCTAATAAGATTGAGTCAGTCTTTGAACATTGTCCCTGGTTGACACTAATTTTGAGACACGTTTCCTGGGAAGAAAAAAAGGCCTGATCGAGACAGATGTTGTGCAGATGGAAGTCAAAAAACAGGCAAAGCAAATGGTCCAGGGGAGTGTGCATTAAGAGTGAGGATGGAGAAACTGGACAGACAGAGGCAGACAGATTAGTATTCCTCCCTGGCAGTTGAATGGTTAACTGGCTCGGGTGTCCGGGTCGCCTGTTCTTATAGCCTGGGGCTAAGTGTTGTGTGCTTATTGTGTAGGCTCGTGTGTCTGCTTGCTCCCTGTGGGGAAGGGGGATGGTTTAAGAATATGCATTTAAAAGCTTCACCTCCTTTCCCTGTGGTTAGGTGGGGAGAGGGGGATAAGAAATGCCTGAGGGTATGTATTTCTTGGACTACTACCAACCTCCAATGCTCTCGGGCGTGTGCCAAAAATCAAGGCACGCTGTTGTTGGCCCAATCAACCCTTATTTAAACCAGCTATGGCATGCCCTAGCTTCTAGTCTAGACTTCAAGAGAATTGTACGTTATTAGCAGAGCATTCAATCAAACAATACCGGGTAATGAGAAGCCTGGGAGGGGGAATAGTATAGAAAACAGGTAGATGAGGTAAGATGGCACAGCAACGGCATCGCTAGATGGTGTGCCAAATTAATGTGCTATGGGGAACTTCGAAAAATTGGGCACAGAATCAACCTTACAACGGTAGCATAATAGGGTACAAAGTAAAATGCTCCACTTAGAACTTGGGGTTACGTAGCAGAATGGGTATTTACACAGGACATTAAAAATGTGACAGATCAGAACAATATTTTATTTATAAGTGTATTCATTTTCATTTACTATTTAACTCATAACAATATTCGTATTGTGCATAGATTATTTACGGAACAGTGAGTTGTAGTTGTATTGCAAATTTTAGTATAGAATTCCTGAGTTTCGCTTAAAATGCATATTACTAATTTCAGTTCCACACAATATCCAGCTTGGTGAAATATCCTCTTAAACACTGTTTGCTAGGTCTCACTGCAGGTTATCGCAGGTTAATAAAGCACTCAAAGTAATTGATTTTTTAATGAATTTATATACACCGTCCTCTTACATATTCTCACTTTCTCTTTCCAGCTGTACATGAAGGAGTCTGGTTCCTCTCTCACTGCACAGATGGAGTGTATGTTTCGTGTCCTCCAGGACTTAAAGCGTTCTTCACCACCTTCACCTGTGGATAAAGAGGAGACACCGGTGCCGCCTCTTCGCAGAGTTCTCAAACGAGATCACCGTCCTGGTCACCGAACATCTGACTTATCTGAAGCAGACTCTGCATGTTGTATGGATCTCCCAAGTGAAACATCTCCAGTGACTTGTGGGCAACGGGGACTGGAATGGGACTCAGGATATTCTGAAGTGTCTGGGGGCTCTTTGCGGGGAGAGGAAGAGGAGGAGGAAGAAGAAGAAGGAGAGAAGATTCCTGCTCCTCCTGTACTGCGACGGAATCTTCTTCCCCCTTGTCAGCGCCTCTCCTCTGCTGGACCTCTCCGTCCAAGCCAAGGGAGGGTACGGCCTAAGTCCACATCAGATGTTTGCTTAGAACAATGGGGGGGTATCGGAATGGGAGTTGGTTCTCAGGACTGGACAGGATGTCTTCTTTCCCAGTGCCGAAGTCGCCAACCATTGGTTTTAGGGGACAATAGCTTTGCAGACTTGGTCAAGCAATGGATGGACTTGCCAGAAAAAGGGGAGGAAGATGAAAGACGGGCCAGAGATGCTAGTAAATGGTTAAACAAGCCCCATGGTTTCCTAGTCAGCTTGTCTGGTAATGTGAAAAGGCGGCTTGGCAATATATCCAGAACTCGAGGACGCCCGGAACAAGAAAGTGTCAAAAGACTATCTTGTCCCCAGTTGGGCTGCCGGCCACTCTCTTTGTACTATCACCAGTCTCTTTCAGATATTGCAGAGGCATCTACGGGCCTATTACACTGCCGCAGCAGGCAGCCAATCATATGCAGCGACAATTCAAGATTTCTATAGTACTCAGCTTTATATGGACACTGCACTCATGGTATGTGTATATTTAAATATATACATATGTTATTATATATGAAATATATACATATGCATATATAAAATAAACCTAAGAAGCATTTGTTTATATACATACATATATAAATAATTATGTATATATAGTTTTTTTATTATTGTATTTTATATTTTACTATTTTTTTAATAAAATTATTTGAAAACTAAGAACGTATATGTCTTTTTCATGAGAATTGTATATTATGAAGTTGAACGCAAAATAAAATATGTACCAGTGGCTGCTGAGCATGCACAAGGACGCGACATGGCAGTATATTGAACTTGGTAATATGTACAAGGTCTTCACTGTGTCTGATAACATGAAATCATGTCCTTAATGTCAACTATTATGGAAAAAGAGTATTCTTTTCTCTCGGGCCTCTTTTTGACTGAGGAAGAAAGCACAGTTAGTCTGCTGGAAAGGCTTTTGGAAAAAACGTGCAGACGGTAATGCTTGCTGCCATAGTGCTGTATGCTACTTGTCTTTAGACCATCTGCAGTGAACTATCTGCATGTTGTACAAAAAGGATGAGACTGTGTCTTTAAAGGGGCACTCTAACTACCATTACCACTAGAGGTTTTTTTTTATAGTGGTTCTGGTTCAAGGTAAAGTTTGGATTTACTTACCAACTTTTTGTCTTTGCTGTTCTTATCCCATCAATCCTTTCAATGGCTGTTCCTCACTTGCACCCCTATCTTATCAGGTATGGCTGTGTCACCTATACATCCATATTTCAACCTGACTGTCTCTCCTTGGCAATAACAATATCCTCGCCCATATCAGCTTCCCCTAGTTCTCTGCAGGTCCATGGTGACCATCTCCAGCTCACTGCATGCTCATTCAAATCCCACCCCTCCATGCTCCATGTCTCCATAAAACCCCATTCCAGATCCCTCTGTTGCCACTGTCCTTCCAACACCCTGTCTTCAAAAAAGCCCACACCAGATGCCTCCAGGCCCCTTGCCCCAACAAAAGGTCACTCCAGAGTTACCTGCCTATTTCAACCCACTTCAGTTCCCATAGTCCACTATCCTTGTTCCCTTTATGCCCCAATACTACATTTGTATCTGATTCATCCCCTTCCAGATAAATCTCTACATTTTGTGGTAAGTCAGAGCATTCTTATTTGCCAAGTCACCTGCGTATTGGTCATACTTATGTGCTGATATGAAACAATGTCATTACAAATGTCTTGGGATTTCTGTCTAGGTAATGATTCCATGTGGTTCTAAAGTGTCTGCAATGAGGGACATCTAGATCACAAAAATGCTTTGCAGTAGTTTGCTATACTGAAACAAGCTAGAAAATTGTCCAGCTTGCCCTAAATATCCTAGTAGTCATCTTCACCTCAGCTATAGGACAACAATGAATCACCTACCATATAGAGGTAGTCTGTATGATATTGTGGGTTGTGGGAGCCTATTACAAATCTCCATAAACTTATACTTCTGCTTTGGTGTTGCATTACCCATGGATGGATAGTGTACTTTGTTACAGATATTTTTGTACAGGTTAATGAGGAGGTGCCCATTTATTTAAGCCAGGTTCCTCTCAATTCAATGCAGCCATTGTTCTTTCCGTGGGCCCATAGCGATGTTGTATCCTTGAATATGTTGCCATGAAGAGGTCATTGCCGGAGTACCAGAGGAAAACATATTTCAATAGAGAGGAAAAGCTCAGAAGTTGGGGGGGCTGCAATATCCAGAGCTAATATCAGTGAGGACCACATGAAAACAAACAAAGTATGAAAGAAAAAAAAAGGTCGGACCAAGTTTCAGGTTAAAAAAAAGAAAAGAAAAATTAAACCAGATCTTATCCTGTTCAGCATTTTCCTGCTTGTCACACCAATGCTGCACAAGAAGCATTTGAAACATTTCCTTACATTTAGTTGGTCTCAACAGAATATTGCGAGTTCTATTAGACTTTTTCACAGCTCCAATTCTTGATGGCATCACCCACATAATAGGGTTTACTTATTCCAAGTTGACGGTAGCTGTTTTCATGGGGGGGAGTGGGGAGAAGGGACAATTGCCCCGTGTGCTGGTATGGTTATACCAGTATGGAACAGCAATATTTCCTTCTCATCACAAGGGTTAAATGAAATAGTTTTCAGACAGATTTTTACGAAGCATTTCTAAGACTAGATTCTTTGTGTGCACCTCTGTTTGTCTGGTGAATTGCCAAATCTACTGATGGAGATTGTGTGCTGCAACTAAAGAGCATTATGGGAGATGTAGTCCACGACATGTGGAGTGCCGAATAGTTGTCTACCGCTGCAGGAGAGCCAGGGGTGGACTTGGATCATCCATAGACTTAAGGGGAGATTTAGCACGGAAAAGAACACAGGCTTTTCTAAGACACAGTGCAAAAACAAGAAGCCATCACCATGGAAACCAATACTATATCGCACCATTTATCTCCAGTAAAGTACTTGATTTGCCTTGATAAATCTCTCCTATGGTCTTTAAACTTTTTTTTCCCCCCATTATTCCACTCGTAACACATGTTTTTTAAAGAGATTGTAAACTGATGAATCCATACATTCCACTTCCCAGAGGAGTTTTATTCAGAGGAAGATGAATAAGACCCTAGATATTAAATATTTCTTGGTAATGTAAAATGCAGCTTTGCGAATGAAAGAGTTAGATTTCTATATACCAGATGTGCTTGTTGTTCGCTGCTCTGTCGCTGAAGGATTTGATGATGGAGTGAGGCCCGGCGCACTGTTGTTAGGACATATTGAAGTGGTTCATGTATCTCACCTCTGCTTAGCCTGCACTGTATCTGCTATAATTAGGTCTCTTTATGAATTACTTCCTGAGTCCGAGCTGCTGCAAAGAGGTAATTAACCCCTTGACAGGGCCCAGCACAGATAAGAAATTAACCATAGGGCAGGCTGAGGAAGGAAACTCTAACATGAAGAGATAAGAGGCCTTGGCCAGTGTGTACAGGCCGCAGCACAATAATCTTCAAAGTTCCTTGCGAAATTTCAGAATCGAAAATAACTTATGTGACAGTTTTCTTCATAATATTCCTATAGTGGTGTTGATTCTCATTCAGTCTAAGGATTTGCTAACTGAGAGCCTCCTACATTTGTTAGACTGCATTGCCCATCATCCCTAGATTGCTACATGGCAGCAGTTGCTATTCAGTGATCAGCAGATGAGTTTTCTGCATCACTACCTCTGATCATCAACTACTGTTTTCATTTAATAACGGTAGATTTTTTTCTCAAATTGTTTCATCTAGGCAAAAAGAGTGCAAAGTACAAGTATTATAAGCGCAAACTTTCTAAATCAGATGATTTAGGCCTTTCAAAATATTAACTCTTAAATAAGTCACTAGACCAGGGATGGCCAAAAGATGGATACCCATTAAAGCAGCACTGTCACCTGTAGAGTCTTTGCATTTTTTTGTAAAGATCCCCAAGAGGACATGTCTACATGTTTGGTTGTGGCCAGGTTGTAACCATTAGTGACGGTTGTCATAGGCCTGGCGGGCCTGGGGGCCCCGGACTGCTGGGGGAGATCCGGGCCCCACGTTGCCTGTGTACACATATATATAGCGAACACTGCCATATATATGTGTACCTGTGGGTCCCCGGCCCAGCACACTCTGACTTCACTTCACCCAGGAGCTCCCCTGTTTCTAACGCTTGCAAGTCCTGTGGCCGGCATGCAGGCTGCGAGAGTTAGACAAAAAGGAACTGCTGGGAAGTGGAGTCAGAGTGTGCTGGGCCCCCTCTGCAGAGACCAGCGCCTGGCTCCGAGGACCAAGCCACCGGACCACCAGGAAATGCAATCTTCCCTTCCCTGGCCAGGTAAGGGTGGACTAAAACAAAATGTAAAAAAAATAAAAGGTTTAAAAAAATTTACACACATATATGCCTACACAAACACACAATGCATGCATTCACTATACACACACAAACACACACATACACTCTGCATTCATTATATACACACTCTACATCCACTACCCAAACACACTTCTCATTCACTATACACACTGCATCTAGTACACACATCCACTGGACAAACACATACTCTGCATTTACTATACACACACTACACAAACATACACTCTGCATCTAATATACACCTCATACATTATACAAACACACAATCTGCATCCATTACAGACACACCGCATCTACTTTACACACGAACTCTGCATCCACAACACATTCTACATCCACTATACACACACCACAATCAGTACACACACTGCATCCCTGCGTGCAGACTCAGGGCAGGCCCCAGACCTTGAGCTGTTTCAGGGGCCCAAAAAATTCTGATGGCAGCCCTGGTTGTGTGGATAAGAGGAAGCATAGCTGTCCCCAAGCTCTATTTGAGCAGGGGGCTTGACATATGCATAGTTGCCTTTTTGGCATTTGCGGTTTAAAAACAAAAACAAAACCCAAGGATACTCAGACAACTTATATTTGGGAAAATTATCACAGCTTTATTAATAAATAAAACATATAAATTATTAAAGGTCATTGTCAACATATTTAACATAAGATCGAAGCCCCAACTCTTTTAACAATTCGACCCTCACAATGACCCCCATAAACAACAATATTAACATATATTAACATAAATAACATCTAACCACTTAAACCATTGCCACCAAGGGCATGATTTACCATGGTCCACCACGCAGGGGTATACCAAGATACACCCTACACACACCAGGTTTGGAGCTACCGACGAGGTCGAACCAACCAAAATCGATCCAAACCTGAGTTCTTAGCGAACTAAACTATGTTACATCTGGACAAACAACCAACACCCCAACTTGTTTATCCATCCCCCGCCGCCGTGACCACACAGGATCCAGAACCTGGAGGGTGGGACAAAACAGGTAAGTGAGGATTAATTAAGAGGGCCCTTGATCTAAAATGGCTGCTATATATACTCCCATAATCCAAAACCCCACCTCCATTTTCTATAGCCAACCCCCCACATTAACACCTTCTATGCCTGTCTCCTAGCCATGTCACACTGATGCTATTATAACCACAGAATGCAGGTAGAGATGGAGAGTGTGTGTATCTGAGGGG